CTTAACAATTCGTTTACAAGTATAATGCTACTATTTTTTCCAGTATAATAATGGGAATATTAAATTAGGGAATTGGATATGAAATGTGTGTGGGTGATAATTTGTGACTTTCAATGATGGGTTTTGAAGAAGAAAACAAATCGAAACCCGAACTGAATAGTTTAATTGGTGAGTAAAGCGATATGTTGCGTATTTATAATAATAATAATAATAAAGTAATTTTTATATAGCGCATAATAATAAATTCTCTATGCGCTTTACAACAATCAAATATACAATAAATTACATGATTGATCTAAAGATTTAATTATACATGAATTAACAGAAATACATATCATATACAATGATGACAAAATAAGATATAATATAAATGATATAAACTTATGAACACAATTATAATAGTTAAATAATTACGATCTTTCATTGTAAGGAAATAACATTATTTGACATAAACTAGCATATAATTACAGACTATTGGGTGAACATAAATATTCAAAGCAACAACAAAAAAGAGATGAATTCTCCATTTTAGTCATTTCGAAGTAGAGCGAAATTTGGTTATTCGTGAGTATTTATATAAGTGAGATGAAAACAAAATCAAAACCCGAACTGAATAGTTTAATTGGTGAGGAAAGTGATATGTTGCATATTTAAAGCAACAACAAAAAAGAGATGAATTCTCCATTTCAGTAATTTCGAAGTAGAGCGATATTTAGTTATTCGTGAGTATTTCTATAAGTGAGATGAAGAAAATTGTCCAACCATCACAACTCGGATAAGAATTAATACCGTATAATATACGTGTTCACTTCTGAAATGTCATATGTATGATCGTATCTCTCGTCATTTTCCGCGTAATAATCAACATTGACCCGAAACGAACTCATGTTTGGTTTAGCACACATATTCATTAGAGATTGAGATGATCTTTTTTTCCTTCTTCTTCTTCAACATCTCAGCTAGTTGATGGCAAGCCAATGGCGGACAATCTCCCTGCAGACATTCCCAGGGATGTGATTGCTTCATGGCGGCGCCCATGATGAAAGGGTCATCGCTTATTTAAAGGTCAAATACACCAACAGGTTGCTGGCTTGAGGTAGAAACACAAGACGATGTGGTCGGGAAAGCCAGAGTATTAGAATGAGCAAGGGAAGATTGAGTGGGGGGAAAGAAATCGCTTTTCCACAATGTCCCTTTTTCCTCGGATGATGCTGAAAGCGTTTTTTAACCTGAATATTACGCCCACAATGATAATGATTCATTTGTAGTTGCGGGGTATCCGTAGAAAAAGAGGAAGGCAATATGTGAATTAGGCTTAAAAGGCATTCATGTACAACAAAATTTATCAGTTAATAAAATGTAGATGTTAGTACGAGATTGAATTCTAAATTTATTTATTCTAATCCGCTGTCTTTCGCACCGAACTTTCGAGAAAAAAAAAATCGTAAATAAAAATGTGACTCTGCGCTTTGCATTAAAAAGGGAGAGTCATGGGAGTAGGAAATGCAATCTGTTTTTTTTTTACTAGTGTTGAGCCATTTTCACGGGGTTCATACATTAGAAAAGAAAAAGACACTAGAATACAAAAGAAAAATGTATCCAATTATCTGCCTGTTCATTAGGGATTGCATGATCGGCTGATGATGGATATCTTTGATACGAAATTAAGAATGTAGTACCTGTAGACAAAATAGCGAGTGAAACAGAAACCTTTTTTGGGGGAAGATTCTGTCTATTTTAAAGGTAAAGACCAGTTATGGTCATGCGATTGCATTGTGAAAGAAACGTTGTGGAATCGATCAGAAAAGGTTGATCATCTAGCATCTAGCATCTGCAAGGTTCTGGAATCATTAAAATGATAAGAAATTTGGCCCATTCTTCGTAAAGTTACAAGCACTATACACAGAAAGATGTATATGGGACTACACTATATCTCTCACAGACCATGAGAGAAACAAATTTACCAAATATATGAATTAGTAGGCGGTTTCCCGGCAAATTTGTTATCATCATGTATTAGTCAAAACATATTCTTTCACATGATTGGTAATGAGAGCTTCCATTTCATTTTTTGAAATTGGGGCGTTTACAATACTGGTCTTTACCTTTAAATGCTTCTAGTAGCTTATAACTGCCTTCCTTTTTCTCAAGGTCGTTTCTATTTTGCAGCATGTTGCGCTCCCGAAGCATTATATCCAAATGATCAATCTTGATGTCGTTTTCCGGTTTGCCATACTTTACTCTAGATTATTTTAAAGAGTGAGGCGCGTTACAATATCTTGACATGAAGTATCTCAAAATGTAGAATCACATTTTATAAAACATACCAATTCATATGATATCCTTATGAAATGAAACTGTAACTTTATTGAAAGATGTCATAAGGTTGTAACAATCGGTCTGAACTTCCAATGTGTGTGGCTTATTCTTTAACTAATACTGACTATTATTAGTAAATTTAGTAGTTTTGCAAAAAAATCACAAGTATTAACAAATCGAATTCATATATAAATGAAGCGGTGTTATGTAATTGTTGATGCCACTTTTAAGTCCAAAACTGTGTTTTACACCCCTATTTTAAATATAATTATTGCCTATGTGTACGTAATCACAGCAAGAAACCTGTCAACTTAAATTTTATATCGAAATAAGGACAATCGTATCAATCACCTCTCTTTAGTCTTTTTTTACGCGCAGTTATTTCTATCCTGCTTACGTCTCATCCATCCGACCTTTTGATGGAGGATTACATACCTTTTGATGGAAGATGATATATTTATAACTGATAATCAGCGGCCAGACACTGTGATCTTCAATGTGTTGCAGATAAAACACCTGCATTAACTTGGTTATTTATATTTACCGGGTAACCTGAATAACTCTATCAGGTCATACAGTAGTTGAAATGTTTACTTACAGGAAAATCCAACAACTACTCTCATTTAAAGAAAGCAGACAAAATCAGAGAAACAGACTGGTGAAAGATTGAATGAAATCGGAAAAAACAATAAGAAAATTATGATTTTTTAATAGTTGAATTCACCATACGTATATATGGGCGCTTCATATTGGTTGAATAGGTAATATCACCTTGACATAAATGCTGGACTCCTTTCTCATTAGTTTTAACACACAAAATGAAAACATGTACATTTTTCAACATGTATGATCAATTAGGGAATTTAACTTTTAAGCGGGCCTAAAATAATATGCTAACCATAATATATTTTGAGTAGTACCCCATATCTTATGAAAAAACAGAAATTAATGATATTTTTGTACTCGACACACGGGAGAGATGTACGCGACTACGTCACAATCCACTGACTAAATTGCCAATTCGAGATTTGCATAGGTTTATTTATCTAATACTTTAAGAATTTATTACCACCCTATTATGAATTAAATTTATTCAACATCTCACCATTCTATTTCTCTTATTTTCTCCTTTCATACAGACGAACTTATTTCAAAGGGCGGGTTGCCCTCTAATCTGTAATTATCTTCCATTATAACTAAATATTTGGTTCAGATAGCAATTTTAAACAGCAGAATAAAAAAATAAAAATACAGGATGAAGTTGCAAATAGGTTGGATTGCCCATTGAAACTTTATAAAAACTCATCTGTAATGAGTGTGTTCACATCTTATACCGATTCAATTTTCGAGATAATCTGTGGCGAGAAGAGAAGGGGAAGGAAATCAGTGTCGTACCATGAAGTTTATTTATTTATGTATTTACTTTTTAATGATTAATTTGGTATAATTACACAAACTAGGTCTTTTACTCGATTACATCCTAGTAATCCTCTTTACCATTGGTTTACTAATACTTTACCATTATTTTTGCTCTGCAACCACGGATAAGCTAAACTAGGTACATACATACTCAAGATCGAGGGAATGTTGTTTTACCATAATCATGATTGCAGTGCAAATGTGTGAAAAGATGTCATAGGAAGTTTTTGTGGATTTGAAGTGTAACAATTTTAGTATACTGACCAACCTATATAGACACGGCAAAAATGTACATCTTATGTTTTTGGTTTAATTTTTCAGTAGGTCGCATATTCTGTATAGGTACTATTACGTCTTTTATTTTAGGCGAAACGATTATATATTGCATTCCATGAACCTTATTATACCTTTTTTGTGTAGCATGAGTTATAATCTATTAAGAAAATTGCTATATTAGGTTTTATATATCTGAATCTTCGGATGTATTATGGTACATTATATTATTTACTAAATGCATTATGTGTCATGGTATTACAAGAAGAAAAAGACCCTTTTCTGCTGTATATTATTTTCCATCTGTTTTGTTACGCTTCATTGTAAATTAATTTCTATGATATATCTGTTTACAAACAAAATATTGATTTGTTACATTGCATTGTAAATTGATTTTTATGATGCATATGTTTATAAACAGATTCATCAATGAAGTTTAATAAATATTATACAAAGAAAAAACAGTTTAATAAATACAATACAATACAATACATGTAAATCACAAAGATAAATATTTAATCGAATGACCACGCATGAAGTTTCTATATACAAAAAGCCGTTTAAAATGTTATTGATAAGTTATTACAATACAATATTACCCTCATTAAAGGCCTATGCAAACAAGTATATCGCTCCGAGTAAGTGAAGCGTTGGTAATATTGACACAAGGGCTCAGACACTGTGTAACCAGGGAGGTGTAAGTAAATGGCAACGATACGGTGAAAAGATACGTTTTGATTTCAGCCCCTCTTCTTGTAGTAACCACCGTCGCCCGCAAAAAAGTCTGTTACTAACGGTTCATTAAATGATAATGCATGGGATCGCAAACCAAAGATAGCTCATCTCTCGCCCATTTTATAATGACCAATTTTACAGGGACGCAGCACGCATGCGCTCTACTTCTATTACGGAAGGAGTGAGTTCTATTTGGTTGTGCGGCGGCGATGCACGCTCGGTAAGTATACGAACGTGCTGCTAAACACCAACAATCAGTTTTGGGCGAACAGTGATATCGGGTGGGAGCGAAAGGCCTTTTCGTCTGTGCCCTTTGTAAATCTGTCTCGTAATAACAGCATGGAAGCCCTTTCGGAGTTTTTGTCGCTATTTTAAACCTTTTTACTAGTATGGGTTTATTCGAAGGATATTTTGGATCTTAAGTAGCCTAGTGATCGCGTAAACAAGTGTTGTTCAATATGGTTTTATGGTGGAATCTTGGTGGCTACTTTGAGTCTTGCGTTATTGAGTTGAAACGAGTAAACTTTGGAAAGCTACCAGAAATCCAGGTAGGTACTTAGTTCTAAGTCGGTCTTTTTTTGGAGGATACGTACCTCCTTCATATTTCAGCTGTAGCATGGGTTATCCTTAATTTGACTTTAGGTAACATTAATATGTGTTACTGTATATCAAATTTCCCAAAAATGTTTGATGTTTTTTTGGAGCACATTTATAGATGTTTTATGGAACGAAATAACTACAATAGCCGTAGATGATAAAAATTAAAATAAAAAGCATTTTGGTAAAGTGATATATTTCCAATTTTAATTAATGCTTAGGTTTAAAAATAAATATATTAATTTATATCTGATAAAACTTCTGATAATGATAGTCAATGACGCCATGGTTTCACTTTTAAATCTGTAACGCCTTCATTACTTTGTTAGGTAAAATAGCTAGTTAAATGTCATTAACTTCAGTGTTATGTTTGGTGAAATGACGTTGATGAGGTGGAGGATATAAAAGTCGTCGCTCTCAACAGAGAAGCACATGTTTAGAGAAGGGTATCTTCGCACCTCTTACCGTGTTGATGATAAACAAGATAGATGTGCGCTCACTCCGACTGCATATTTCGGCGAGAAATTGAAGGAAACTGGAGACAAAATGCCTGAAAATGTGCGTGTTGATTACGTGGATCTCCAGGATCAAGTTTCGCAGGGCTCCTGATTCAAGAGGAGTCTAATGTACTTAGTCGCTGTGATCATGCATACAGTTAGCCTGATTTTCAGCCTCATAAATCATTGGCGAAGAGCTGGTTCCTTCAGGGAGTGTTTGGACGCTCCTAGAGGGGTGATGGAAAGGGTTGGGGGCGAGGATTGGGCGGAGGGAGAAGGAACAACAAGCCACGACCGGAGCCGGGAGGGTAGAAGAAGACACGCCAATTGGAATTCAAACTCGATCGGAAGTGGTGGCGGTTAGACATCTTCGCATGAAGACGGAACGTGGTTTGGGGTTACATGAAATAGATTGCTACACAGAAAAATAGATGGAGACCTTTACCTGTCATCTTCATTATGGAATAATCTTATCGATTAGAGTAACAGATTCAGTAGAAATTTTGGGTATATTTGTGTAAATTTTCTTTCTACTTGTAATCTAAAGATATATGGTGTGCAGGAGGAGATTGTCGTGATAAGTTATAGTTGTCAGGATATAAATCTTTAACTTTGGACTCGACCCACGCTATGAATATCACCTCCTACACTGATCTGTTTTGCTGATTATAACAAGACTCATTTTGTTGACACGAATTTCAGCCATGAAACACAGAGTCGTTTCCTTTTTATTTCTCCTTGAGAAATACAAATCATTAGGCCTACTCATGTTTTACGACCCATGCGTGTGTTACTATCTTATGCAGACAAGCGCTCATTATACTGAAACGAGTGCCTCTTTTTCATTAAAACCTTCGCTTGATTGTTATCGTCTAGATTAGGAGAGTATACTAAATATTTCACACCGATGAATAATTGAGTATTTTACCGGTATGCCACGGGTTGATATGTAGGGCAGTGGGGCAATTTCCTGAAACGCTGAAATTGAATGAAATCATACGAAGTTTGTGTGCTTACGTGTTCTTGCACGAATCGATTTTGTTCACACACCTTCCACAATAGCCGATAACAGGTATGGTAACCACTTACCAGTACTTTTTTGTTAACAGTTTTTATTATTTATTTAACACGCTGGTAAAGACTGTAGAGCATACAACACCATTCATTATTGTGTCTCCGGACTACTGCACACGTACAACACATGATTTTTGATTGTACAGTTAATTGAAAGCGAACTCTAGTCTTTCATGTTATTACCACTCCAATTGCGTTCATCATAAGGAAATTATTTTCAATTAGAGATCCTTATTTACGGAATTTCCCTAAGTGGCATTATCAATCTTAAAACCATTTCATACCAAAAATATTTCCTCATTGTTGTCACAAATATATTTCCTTTTCCCTCTTCTTTATATCTACAGAATCGTGTAGACCTCTAAACAGATTGATTCCATGTGCGGATTATGTCATAGGAATATTTCATGGAAACGACACCTACCGAATAGTTAGGAGGGAACTCGTGTGCTCAGTATAAACCCCAACCTTTGAAGATCAGCCTCCTTTACCTGGGAAATAATTGTCTGGAATATAACCGAATCGCGTGTTTTGCTTTGACGGAGAACTATTCGTCATTGCCATAAGTGAGCGCGTTATTGATCACTAGTGAGTTCGCTTCATTATAGATTCCCCCATCATATCTGGTCCACTCGAATGCACTCATTCTCGGCACGTGTCTACACACCGTCACCATCTTTTATAGATCTATGAACCATCTCGGTATATAACCGTTCCGATCGATACCACCTAATTATATCGCGCGCGTGAGAATCGAGCGTCGGCAGCTGCCCAGAGGTCACTCCGGCAAGTCAAATATGGTTGGGATTTCTGGTGGTGTTCTACCAATGGAGTAAATACTGAGAGATGGTGATCATATCTTGAGGATTATATCGCTGCCGAGACGAGCCGGTTGTGATCGATTGTTTTCATTACTGGAATGTGAGTCTTCAAGGTCGTCTGGTCCATGATCTTCAAGGTCACGTGATGTTATTTCTCAATTTATGCGGATGAGTCAACGTGCTTCATCAGTTTACCCTTTTCTTGCCCGCTGTTGATACTAATATGACACTTGATGAATTTCTATTACTGCATACCGTGGAGGTTTCTTCGCAACGTGTATGATACCGTGCGAATCTGTATGCTGGATGTTGCCCAGGTCGACCTGATATCTCAAAGCCTCACAGAGAAATCTGAGACAGACATGGAGGCCAGGAAGCCCGAAGGTGACCTGGAGGTCATGAAACCGAAGCAAGTTGAGGTATGGCTTGATGCAAACCGTGATTGGTTCGAAGACTTTTTTCTAAAGGGTGCCAACAGAGACTTGGTGGAGAAGTGGTTGGACTTACACAAAGATGAAGATACAGCTTCACCTCTGAGTTCTTCTAGTCCAACAAATACACCAAGTCCAAGTTCTCCAAGTCCTATTAACAATCCACCCATACAACCGATACCACCCATGTCTCCTCAAACTACCAGAAGAGTGACATTGTCCGAGCCGGAAGACAAATCTGAAAGTAACTCATCCGATGAAGGAATCGCGAACATCCCCGTTAGACCCCGATCAGGATCAAGGCAATACCTAAGACAGGACTTTGCGAAAGCGCGCTCTAAGACTGTATTCAGCACGTGGGCCGCTGGAACTGGTGCGCGTGATAGTTCTATGCAATTAGATTCTGAGCCATTGTCACCAAAGGAGAGAGCCATGGGTGATGGCACTGGCAAAGGCTTCGCAGGCAGGAGAAGATTACGTCGAGCCTCGACGGTGCCACCACCCCAGACTTTTGCAAGTACTCTGAGCTCTTTGTTGGAACCTCGGGTACGACTCCCGCATCGCACAAGCATCACTCACGAAGCAAAGCTTCAGCTACGATCAGCGAACGAACGCGAGTTTTTCCTGGCTCTTGTCAAAGACATCTCTCATGATCTAGACCTGAACAGTCTCCGTGGTAAGATCCTCTCTAATGTGGGTATTCTAGTGGACGCCGAACGCGTAGAACTATTCCTGCTGGAAGGACCTAAAGGAAAGGAAGTGCTAGTATCAAAGAAACGTGATCTCTCACCAGGAGTTCCTACACATCGCCCTACGGATTGGTTACTTGGATTTGGCAAGACAGATCCAGAAGGATCTCTTATAGTCAAGGTTGGTGAGAGCTTGATTGGAAAGGTTGCTGAGACTGGCCGCGCCGTCAAGATATCCAGTCCTGTTGAGGTAAGTTTCGATCATACTATTTGAGAAAGAATAGAACTTCCTTTTGGAGCCAGAAGGGTGTCGACTCGTTTCATTTTACACAGAGTTAACCACTTTCTGGCTCCAAACTGACACATATTGAAAACGATACACAATAGAAGTCCTGTACGTTTTACGTCATGCCACTGTTATAAGCCCCATCTTTATCGAAATGAATAGCTTTGGTGGCGTATTAAGACCACATGCTACCAATATGTGATTTTTGTTTTTCCAGTCTATGTTGTTTAACATCCAGTTTGTACCATAAAATACATTGAATTCTATCGTGAAGTGATGGCATTTGTCTAAAACGCAAACAAAATGTCAGTCAGGTATTAGTGGTGTAGACCAGTGTGAAGCCTCTTAACCGTTTACGACCCGTTAGAGTTTACTTAGGGATGTACTTGTTATTTAGCTAGTCGAGTTCACTAAATGTCAGCTTTGCCAACACATCGATCTTTATGACAACGGAAATGGTACTAAAGTATTAGCCTGGTATATCGTTCCAGTTACTGGTGGATCAAATGTTTATTTTGGTACGTCAAAATTGAGTGTAACACAATAACACCGACAGTAATTTATCGTAACGAAATACGATAGGCCATTTTCGTAATATAACCTCATTTACGCATGCGCCTTTTTGTGTTGTTGCTACGTAGGACAAACATAAAGGCTTGCCCTACCTAAAAACAATATTCATTTTGACCATTGAAATTCAATTACCAATTACAGGAGAATTAAATAATTCGTATCGAGGCACTTAAGTATTATTTGATTTAACTACGAAAATGACCAATTCTTGTGACTTCGACTGTGATATATTATATTGGTATAGCCATCGCATGAAATTCCGTATTTAAAAACAAAAGTATTTATAATTTATGTAGATACTTTTTAACACTTAAACATTACGAATCAAATTTAAGTTAAACATAAATCATTAAAGAGGTCAATATTAACCTCCTTTAATTCTGCTTGTCTGGCCCATCATGATTTGATCACATATTCGGAGTAAGGAGTGAGATTAAAATTTACAAGATACAGGAGTTTTCCAAGTACCAATCAAAGACTCAATATGATAAACACAGGAAGCGTACGTCTGGCGTATAGTTACGTTATGACCCTCTCCAAATAAATCACTTGATGTTTTCTGTACGCCATAATTTATGACAAATATTGCGGTGGCAGTTGAAGAGGAACATACATCATTCTTGTCACAATAAGGATTGTACAGTGCACCTTTGAGGTTTCTTCATAGCAAACAAGAGTTTTTTTCTCATCACTTCTGCCAGGATTAGAAGAATCACACTGCGTATTAAAAGTATAACTGTTTATCAATTTGGAAGCACATTGAACTTAATGTAATTAAACATGAGCAATATATTCCGAACATTCTTACCGTTATACTTCCACCTCAGCTGGGTATGAATCTACCATTGAAAACGGTATAGAAATATGTATATCTTACGTAATAGATATAATTTGTAATGGCGTCCACATTACCCCACGTACCATATTTCATTCGTCCAACCTTACCCATTTTTCCTAAGGACAAATGAAAATATTCTGTCCAAAATGGCTAATGACCAAAGGGATATATTTAGTCCTATAAGTCCCCCGTCCCATTAGTCTTGGTACCGATGAGAGTTAGGCTTCGCATTAGTGGTTGGATCGGTAATAGATTTGTTGTTATATTTTACATCAGCAGTGGGATATTGTGGTTATATGCAGGACGTAGGACTATACAAGGTGAACCACATTTTTAACCGGTAAATGGTATATGCGTTCCGTGTACACCTGAAAGGTCTGTTACCGTCACTGAAAACAATCGGGAAGCTTATCTTGTAATATGGAGTTATATCTATAATAGTTAGAGTTATTAAAGAGGTTCAACTGACAGATTATCATAATACACTTGACCTTCGGTAGTTATTAAGCGGATAGCTTGTCGAAGTACAATGTCCAACTCGGATTCAGGATTCCCTGACCCAGGCTCATGCCTTAAAAGGGGCTCCTAAATGGAATTTGGTCACGTCTTCTTACTATGAGGGCGTTACAGTAACCATTACCTCTGAAGAGAATCTAGAATCGTATGCTTTTATTGAATCTTCTTGTGATGATCAAGAGAAACTGCGGAAACGACATTTTATTTTGAATTTAAACATTAGACAAAACATTTAATCCCCACAAAATCTGACGACCATCCTCTTGTTTTCTGTTGCCTCTGAAAAACAATATCATGATTATATCTGTGATTTACTTTCCCGCCATTTCTATTCCAAGGTAACCGGTTTCTTGCTTCTCGCCATCGCTTTCATTCCAATACTGATTAAGTTTCACATGGTCTTACCGTTATCCCGCTGATCTTTATTAGCGCGTAACCCGACGCGACGATATTTTATGAACATACGACAAACCCCGTAGGCCAACTTTCCTTGCCAGGCCCAATAATCCTAATCAATTCATTTATGATGATGATTCTATGAGTTCCAATTCCAGCGTTCAGACGCCTTGTCAGCCATAAAAGACAAGTTGCCCGACGGCAAGAAAATTCTGAAAGCTACTGACAAATTTTCCAAATTAATTTCATCACGAAGGCATATGTGGAAGTCTTTTGATTTCTCTGTCCCACATATCATATTTCGTATAGGTATATCACCGCCATGTTTAGGGTTCATTGCCGTTTAGTTTTCTTTTCTAATCAGGTCCTAACGAAAGAGAAATTAGTTCATGATGGTGAATCAATCATCAAATTGAAAAACAAACGCATTATGATTTCACCAGCTTCTGTTGTGCAATGTTCTTCCGTGATGTCTATATGGTACCTCACTTTGATGGTGAAAAATCACATTGAGATTGCAATACCCATGATATAATAACAGTACTAAATTCATTGTCAGTTGTATGTGATAACACCTACCGCATGTCAGATGATTTTCGTTAATTTCTCTTTTAAATCGATTATTTTATTTCTGTTATTGCCATTTCCTTAAACATTTCTCACATAATTACTCTCAATTTTGGTACTATACTGCTTTGATTAACATCATTTCTGATGTCTGATGAGGCATTTGTCTTGTAAAGAGATTAGAGAGGGCGTATGAAGAAAAACAAATCATCGAATAATAGGCAAACTTTAGTATTAAACGTATCTTTAAATCGACCTTATGATATAACTTGGGTTTGAGCAAATATTTTTATTGTGATCTCGACGTCATAGACACCCACCCTAATACCATATCAAATCTTCTTATCTTTATGACATTTCAACAAATCCATATTTCAAACGTAACACAATCCGATAACGGTTTGGGGCATGCATAATATCATATATCGTGAATGCCTTGAGATGTATATTGCTACGGTACATTACACATTCTATTATTCACTGCGGAAGCTGGGTATTGACGTCATATAAGGATATTAATTGTGAAACAATGAAAATATTCTTTACATATGGCAATATTGATGTCTCGTTGAATATTGTATGGGAACATAATGGCGGGTGACACAATGCGGATGTGAAATGCATTAAGCGTTTGCTATTATACTTATATTTACATTATGACTGTGGACAAAAAGAGAATATTTAGAAAAAACCCGACTCATATTTTAATTAAAGTTACCTATTATAAACTGTTTTCAAACAGATTAACGTTTGATTGTCTGAGTTTGATATTGATTACACTGAAATAGACGGGGCCGGAATTTTAAATATGGTATTATTTTAATTAAAGACAACGTCTACACGGAGCAGGTCGATCCCCTATTTAGACACAAGGTTCATTTCCAACGTCCTCGCTGTCTATACGTTGTGAGATCTCATGCCGCATTTCTGTTCACACCACAATCTGACTCTATATACAGACTAAAAGTCATTTAAATGTGCTGTCTATACGGTATCAAAGTTTATGCAGGGTTGTTCTATCACACCGAGATAGCTCACACTGTATGGATAGCACAATCTTATCTTAGTTCGATGTCTATTCTTTGTGAGATCTTCCCGATGTGTATGAAGAAGACAAAAACGGTGAATTAGATCTTGCATTGTATGGACAGCAAAGGTGATTAAAATGTAATTAGAATCGGGTTATAGAAGTTCGTATGAACATAGCCGATGATGGTGCTTTCGGAGTGGTTTACCGCATGACATTTTCGTGTAGTAGCCAGACAAGACACCCATTAAAAACAACTGTCCTGTGTCACAGCTGAACAAATAGATGTACCACCAACAGAGCGTGCAGAGTGTCTGTTTTGTTTAATTTATGTTGTAATTGATATTTGTATCCGCATGTTGAAAAAATAATGTCAATAGAAAATTAATGGGCATTTTTAGTTTGTATTATACTGTTCACGATAATTAGAGGGTTGTGCACGCATGAGATGATTAGGTATACAAAGATAGGTGTTTATACTAATTGCTTTTATTATATTAATAATAATAACAAGTATGGTCTTCTAAATATAAAGCGCTGAGGTCTGTCTCGAAGTGACAGTCATACATATTAAAGACAACAGACTGTTATGCTTCCTGGTGACGTAACTCCATATAGCCATACAATAAAATACCAACGTCAAGAACAATAAATATATCAAATGAGAACAGAGTTCTTCCAAGAACGTGACTAAAAGTCGTTTGGACGAATATTCTTCGTTCCTACAATAATTTTGCCACACCAACACACTATAGAAACTTCTAAGAAAGACGACATTACGTAGAAACAGGTGACTCACCGACACTTTCTATTTTATGATATTAACTACTGATCGGGTAGGCGTACATGTAGGGTATGTTTGTTATCAATATCTCAAATACGTCGTTGATGGTATGATACTCCGACGCCTTTTTCGTACAGGTGCAATTTTGAAAATATACATTTCGAGGAATTGCACAATCATAATGGGGTGGGTTGTTTTCGATTTATATAATTAATATGAATGACGCACAAGCTAAGCGAAGTTGAAAAGCAGTTGTAATTGAA